ACATAGCTTAATGTGTTCATGCCGTTTTAGGTTGCTGTTACTCAGCCTAAATGTGTGCACATAATGTCGGGTGAACACACTCAACGGTCATGAAATTCTAAGAAGGCAGTGTATAGCCTACTTGAATACCTTCGCTGCGAGCTGTTCCATGTGTAGGCGGCTTGTCATCTGCGTCCTCGTCACTGAAACTAAAACCGGCGTGGGTGCCGGTGGTGGGATGAAACCATGTGTACTAAAAAGAGAAACTAGTTTATTTAAACTCTCTTGCAGAAGATTTCCATAACTGCATATCCCACGTTCATCCAAATTTTTATTTGTTAATTCTCTATCTGTGTTCACTTAATTGTACGTGTTACGGTTACAATTATGCGAAATCCATCTGACCTCAGTGAAACCGCAGACTGTGCCTCTTTACGCATATAGATCTGGCACAACTGACCCAGAGGGCTATACTAACTCTATTATTTAACGATTAATACCGATTATCAAATGCCCAAATACTATTTCAATGTTTAGTTGGATTGAAGGACTTGTCGGGTGGGTACTCAATATACACCCGCCTTTGCGGCCATGGCGCAATGGGTCACTGCATATATTATAAACTGAACATCAACCATTCGGGTGACGATGTCGTCCTTACACCGTTCATTGGGCAACAACTACGTCCGAAGCTTGTTGACAGTCATTAATCCCGTGGCTCTCGAATATATCTTGGTTTCGCCTATATTTAGCAATAAAATAGCTGACTTAGCGGCCCCACCTACCAAAGACGTCATCGTCATCATGCTTGAGGCTAGCTTAGAAATATCATCGCCTCATGACTTCATCAAACATTTATGAAAGATCTAATCAGTGCGTAGTTGAAAAGAATGCGCAGCAGAACACAACCTTGTCGAACAGATAGCGAGGTTATTGCGCATCAGAACTCGCTTGTTGGTGGCTTACTAGTAAACCTTAATTCTGGCGATGATTTGTGCAGGCATGCCGTCTACCTACAGCATTTACAACAGCCATTCGCAATGAACGAAATAGAACGCTGTAGTGAAGTCAAGTGAACAAAGGGCCATATGTTGCTGTTAGCCGTGGTCGAATTGAAGATTTAGTTACAGTGTGAGGAGATTGGTATATCTGTCCAGTTCACAACCAAAGGAAGTAGGCAGTGGGTTGGTCATCGAACGGGAAAATTGTCAATAAAATGCGCCTTATTGTTGTAATCTGAGGCTTAAAATGCGAGTCTGACATGCAAAGAAGCGGAACGTAAACGTTTGTCCACCTTTTAAAACTTAAAACTTATTATAATGGTTGGAGGTTGAGCCTTACAGAGGGCTTCCTACTGAGCATTATATTTGGTAGAGTTAACCACCGATCCAGGCCCTTGTTTTATCTAAGAATTGGACTGCAAGTAAATTTCGGGCTAGTTCGGAAAGTGTATTCGAGTGTCTAATAGGTGACCTCCGTAATTCAGAGGCAGAACCAAGAGTTTCAATCTGTCCTAC